TCCCCCCCCCCCCCCCTTACCTCCTTCCATGACAGTCATGTTTTGTATTCCTTTTAAATGTAGGTTTTCAGAACTGTGTGACAGTGGGTACTTAAAGGCCGAGCTTAAAAAGGTGAACTTATTTTGTGCATTGTAGATTCCTCAGTGGTGTGTTGATTACATGAGATCTTTGGTCGGACCCAAGAGAGGTGTTGCATGTACCCAGCCCAGAAGGGTTGCTGCAATGAGTGTGGCACAGAGAGTTGCCGACGAAATGGATGTCATGCTGGGCCAGGAAGTTGGTTATTCTATTCGATTTGAAGACTGCAGCAGCGCAAAAACTATCCTGAAGTAAGTAAATAAGGGACCTTTCTTTTTTATATGAAGCATTCTTCCCCTTTCCCATAGTTTAAAATATGATGAGGGGAATTTATCAAAACCGGAGCAGACTATGTGAAACAGTTGCCCATGGCAGCCAATCGGCATCTATCTTTCATTTTTAAAGCTTTACTGAGTAAACTAACAGGAGAAGCTGATTGGTTGCTATAGGGAACCACTCCACTTTTGATCCCCCCCATTATTTCAAGCATTTTCGATTTCACACCATAAGCTATTTTTGTGTTTTTTAAATACATTTTTATTTTTATCCTTAGACTGGTCTAGTTTAGTTACTTGTAATGCTTGGTGTACTACATCCAAAGGGCTGCTGGGGATGCTACATATCTTAGTTGTGTTCATAACAGATTTACAGTCTTCTTGGATCTTCCAGGCTCTGATGCTGTGACAGCCTGTCTCGTACATTGCAGTGCCCAATCTCCTTTCTCACCCAGTGATAACATGTTTTGCATTCTGTGATTGGACAAAGGGAGAGTAGGGGCGGTGAACAATAGGACTGTCCCTTGTGCAATCACAGAATGCCTTGTATTCTATGTATAGAATTCAAGACGTTGCATCAGTGAAGGAGAGTGAACCACCACAAGCCCTGCATTGTATAAGATGGGAAGTTACAGCAGCAGAGACCAGAACATCAAAGCTGACCGTAAATCTGTCATGAAGGCAGCGAAAACATTTCTATCAGCCCTCTGGATGTAGTATATCAAGCATTAGATGTAACTAAACTGAACCAATCTAAAGTATTTTTTTTTTTTCTGGTGTTCAGCTTTAACTCTGTTTTTCTCTGTGCACAGGGAAAGGGATGTAGCGCCATTTGCAGCCAGGAGAAGCTTGTAGACCAACTCTATGGTTGGCTGCCATGGTGGTCACATACGTAACCGTGCTAATTGTTTTCTAATAGCTAGTCTGAAATCCTGCTCTCAGCTGCACACTACTGTTTCTTAGGTGGAACATTCTTCTCATGACGTGCACACTTGAGAATGTTATTATAAAGAGTGGATCTGTGTTCAAGAACAGCCAAGAATCTGTCTTAATTTTTTTATGCACTGATGACTGCCCGTTCAGCTAACCATAGAGCATCAATTGGTTGTGACACAGAACTACTAGGGGCCCATCTTTATATGCTATCATATTGACTTTCACAGAGTCCAGTGGGTATTACAAAACTCGTACACATTGTGATTGGGGCACCAGATCTGTCAATCAGCAGGGCTACCTACTGTCTGTCCACATATGTTTACATGGTTTTCTTTATGCCAGGTACATGACCGATGGTATGCTGCTTCGGGAGGCTATGAATGACCCGTTGTTGGAAAGATATGGTGTAGTTATTCTGGACGAAGCCCATGAGAGAACGTTGGCAACGGATATTTTAATGGGGGTGTTAAAAGAAGTTGTGCGACAAAGGAATGATTTAAAGGTATGTTATGTGTCCCCCCCCCCCCCCCCCCCCGAACATCTTCTTTAAATCTGCCATTTCTGGTTCAAAGTCTCTGATTGAGATCACTGAACAAGGTCAGCTGTGAGACGGGGGCTGCCCACCCCTAACACTGTATATTTGCTTAATTATACACAATTGCGGTATAGTGTAACTTTTATGCATGTGTTTGCATAAAGACCATAGAGCAAGAATAGCCTGAGAAGGGGTGCAGAGCTATGGCTTGGCATTCCAAAGTTTTATAGTGCATGTTCATTATCACAAATTGTCTTTCATTATGTGGTATTTGTTATAGAAGTGTGACTTGGCAGTTTATATTTTAGTGTATTTACCTATAAGAGATACAATTCCATCCATTTCCATACAATTTCTTACTGATGGTGATGCATTTACATGCATGTGAAATATTGTTAATTCTGCACTTGTAGTGCTACATCCCAGACTTCCTATTAAAAACAACCTTTTGCCTTTCATGTTTGGTTTAGGTTATAGTCATGAGTGCCACACTTGATGCAGGCAAATTCCAAGTGTATTTTGATAGCTGTCCTCTCCTGACAATTCCCGGCCGCACACATCCTGTGGAAATCTTCTACACTCCGGAGCCAGAGAGAGACTACCTAGAAGCTGCTATCCGTACAGTGATCCAGATTCACATGTGTGAAGAGGAGGAAGGAGACCTACTGCTGTTCCTCACAGGCCAGGAGGTTTGTACAGTGCCAGTCCTGAATGGCATGACTTTTGTTTTATTTCCTTAGAATGGCAGTGGACTGCATTTGCCAGGAACATTGCTCAGAGCTCTTGATCCCACATGTTTGCTCCTCAGCATAACATCTGAGTATTTTAAAGGCAAAGTTGACCCAAAACGGATTGGTCAGTTTTACTTGCTGTTGGCTTACAATACCAGGCACTCGACACCCACGGTACTGTTTTTCTTTATAAGAATATATTGTATGACTTTTTTCCTGGTTAGTATGTTCTGAGAGGTCTGTAACTTAATCCTGTGTTGCTGTTCTATATAAATACATCCAGAAATGGTGTATAGGCACGTTTTATCTGACCATAAATGACAGTGGTAAACCCATATAAAATATGAAGACTGGGAGGAACTGTCACTTTGACCATTCATTGTCTGCACATAGCCAAACCCTCCAGTCATGTATTCTTACCCAGCCTCCCTCAGCTTTTCTGCAGCAGCATTCCTGCCCAAGCAGTCATATAGGAAAGGACATGTACCCAGCAGCCCCACTCTATTAGTGAGGCCTCTGACATTGTGGGGAGGCCTGAAGGATGCATCGGTTGTTATTTTTTAGAGACCTGTGGGGCAGGCAGGATTGTGGGTGGCTGATATCCCTTTGGCAGGAAGGGGGCTTGCATGTGCAGATAACTATCACTTTACCCTAAATAGAGGTGACCATATCTGTTTGAAGAAAAAACTGTGCTGTCACACATTAGAAGGCTTTCATTATTGACCTCTCTTCATTCAGTCCTTTGAGTCCCCTTGCTGTAATAGGCCGCCTTATTTCAGTCGTTTGGACTTGTTGATTTGCTTGTTCCAGGTCAGTTACTTGAAATGTATTATAAGCACTGGATCAGCGTGACAGCAGGGAAGTCATATGCTGGTAGTTTTTCTCTCGCATTGCATGTAGCCATTCAGATTTTTAATTTGTTTGACTTGCTTTGTTTTGTAGGAGATTGATGAAGCTTGTAAAAGGATTAAGCGTGAGATTGATGACTTGGGCCCTGAAGTTGGTGACATAAAGATCATCCCATTATATTCTACCCTCCCACCCCAACAGCAGCAGAGAATTTTTGAGCCCCCTCCACCCAAGAAAACAAACGGTGCAATAGGAAGGAAAGTAAGTATAAAGCATTTGGTTTGCATGCCATCTGAATTCACATTCAATGCACCTCGGACACTGAGCAAGTATTGTGACTTTTTTTTTAAAAAGGCAAAACCCAGGGATGCACCGATTTATCGGCCGAAAATTGCACTTTTGGCCAAATGCCGAAAGTGCCATTTTACTGCAGATACAGCGGCACCTCCCTGCTTTCTTTACTTCCTGCTGAGCGCTGCTCTGTGTCCCAGCGGGGAGGAGAGAAACTGTGACAGCCGGCCACATCGTTTAGCCTCCTGTCACAGTCCTGCAGACCGGTGTGTGGGCAGAGAGCCCGCGCTGTCGCAGGAGCCTGAGCTCTCTTCCCTGCACTGCCCCGCCCAGCCTCCCGTGACAGCTGTCAGAGAGGAGAGCGGGTACAAGCACTCGCTGATCGCTGAGTGTATGTACATAATTGAGCACATGGTATGGTTACTATATCCTCAATTATGAATGAATGGGAAGGGATCTACATATCCTCCTGATCATTCATGGTTGTGGTTATAGTAAACATACTATCTCCAAGTATTGAATAAACAGGAACACTCCGTATAGAGGATTAATAACAGGGGCTGCAGAAAAAGAGATTGAGGACTCAATCTCATTTTCCATTTGAAAAGGGAAATAGGGATCTGTTTAGACCCCCCCAATATTTCCCCGAAGCCCCTAAAAGTAAAAATATTTAATAGATCAATACATAAATAAAAATTGTATACATTTTTTTTTAAAACCATTTAAAATAAAAAACATTTTCAGTTATGGCCTGACTTGAAATTTTCCATTTCGATGCACCTCTAGGCAAAACTGATTGCTTCAACTTTACTTGGAAAGATTGTTCAGTAATGTGCTTGTCTAGGGGAGCCATTACAGCCCTGGTACTAGCATATGTGATGGGCCTCATAATCCACAAGTACATCTACCTATCATTGAGAGCTCTAGGTGCTGCATAAAGGCTGTATCTATAAGGGGGCTGGGCTTTGTAAAATTCCCATGTGTATGCTACCTATTATGGCTATTAGATATGGGTTTTGTTTCATAGATATTCCTAAAACTGCATATCAAAGGCAGTTTCATCTTTCACATGTCTGCTGAAAGCTCTCTTCCCTTTCATATGTCCTGCATTGTAAACCAGTTTATCAAGGGCACTTCTAGGTGCCTGGAATTCATGAAAGGGAGATGTCGAATTTATAGCTGTCCATAAAATGTCATTAATTGCTGCACTGTATGTACCAGGTGCTGCTACTCTGCACCAATGAAGAAATCATGTTAACATTGGCTATGACTGTAAAATGTAATTTGAAGCCTCTTCAGATACCCAGGTATCCCTTTCTGCTATGTGCACGGATTCTCCCTGTTCACAGATGACATTACATTGTGAATGTAATTGTGCTGATTAGGCATGCATACAGTCCTGGAAGATGTGAGAAATGTTACAACTATGTTGTTTTACAATTTTGTCCTTGACTATATGTAAAGAGCAGTGCATTCAGTAATGACCCACCAGGTCCCAAACATTGTTTTTTTCATGAAGTTCTGTTTAATTAGGAGGTGCAAAGTGTCCATAGGGCTCTATTGTTTAAAGTAGTACTCGACCCACTTTCCAGAATAAAGTTCTACATTTACATGCTTTATTTTAATAGTAATGTCTCTATAAAGTACTCTATTGGTAAAGTATATCTGTAAGAAAATAAGTCAAGGCAACTGGACTTGCTGTATTTTTCTTGAAGACATTTCACTGGTCATCCAACCAGCTTTCTCAATTCAGAATGACTTGTGCAAAAATTATCTGGGAATAAATATGGTGAATGTTGCTCCAATCCACATAATCTGTCTAATATACAATGACCTGGATGAATGAGAAACTTCACAGATTTATTTGTAAAGGTTTTTATTGCCTTTCTTATGCAGCTTTCAGTCTTCAGGGTGCAGCATTTCCCCTTGACTTCTGGTGGGGTTATGTGCACCATCCCTCCTTCATGCCTGCCAGTGGGACTACATCTCCCATTATCAGTCACAAATGCGTGATAAGTTACAGAAGGTTTCTGTTTTCTGTAACTTTTCAACTGGAAAGTTTCTGTTTTTAGCAGTCCTGCATTGTACAGGAGAATGCTGATGGCCTGCTTACAACCCAGAGCGGAGGAGAGCACCAGCTGCTGGGGGAGTGAGGTGTAAAAAGTATTTTGTACTTTATTCCTATCCTCCTCTGGTCAAAGGAGCATTTATCCCATGCCGTACCTGGGTAAAGTTAAAGGCTGTCCCGAATTGGGCTGTAAAGGGAGGCTATAGCGTTTTATAAACTGATATTGGGGCTTTCACACAATTGGTGTCATCTGTTTGCTACAATTACAAGTTCAGGCTTAGTGCTGTACTTAAAGACAAACTGCATCCACAGTAGCCCTATAGACACATGGACAGTATATAACCATAGATAGGACTCACGCAGTAAACATCTCATTCAGTAAGGCAGGGATGTCCAAACTGCGGCCCTCCATCTGTGGTGGAACTACGAATCCCATGAGGCTTTGCAAGATTCTCAGACATGACTCCCGGAGAGAGATGCTTCATGGGATTCGTAGTACCACCACAGTTGGAGGGCCACAGTTTGGACATCCCTGCAGTAAGGGGGCAAGTAAACATCTGTCCCCTTACATTTCTGATCCCCAGGAAGCCTGACACTTGGCCCCACCATCTGCTACACTAGTGACTGTTTCAAAGGCTAGAAGATAGTATTTTTTTTTTTTTTTTTTTTTTTTTTTTTTTTGGGCTGGCCCCT